CCATTACTCTAGCTGTTTCCCCCAAAACCCCAAAACCCCAAAACCCCAAAACCTCTAGCATACAATCAAATTAATAGATAATTACATGAATTATAATTAATTATTAAGGAAATTATAAATATGTAGAGCTCTCTCGTTGATAGAAAGCTTTCTATCCTTTACGATAAGTATAAAGACAGAGAATATGTCAAAAACGCTCAAAAGGAAGTAGAAGACATCAGAAGAACTGCTAACTACACCGGTGCAGCTATTACTACTGGCGCTCTTGTACTTAACGAAGCAGTTAGACTCACAAAAAGATCTCGTAAGTATAAACTTAATCATAAAAGCAAATATTCTTGCTTGAATCTGCATTTATCCAATTAATTGAAGCCTTATAATATTATTAGCTCTCTTCAAATTGAAGGTACAAAACCTCGCCTTCTGGGTAGTCGCTCCAACACTAGGTGCTAGATACTTCTACGAGAACCATATTCATGAAAGAGTTGACAACCTTTGGAGAATTCATGTCAATAGAGAGAGGCAAGGTAATTACATTGATTCTCCATTAAATTTATACTTGCAAATACAATAACTTTCTTGTAGGATTGGGAGGAACCTACAAAGAGAGTGGACTATATGATGATAAGATGATTGATCATACCGCCAGAATCTATCAAGGTGCTTAGATTAGTATGAGACAACTCGTAACTGGAGAGATTTTGAAACCCTATCTAAACAATCAATTCCAAAGATTCAACAAAGGAATTGAAGCTTACCCAGATTTCTTAGATGATATGGATGATATTGCTATGGTTGAGTATGATAACTTTGAGAGACTTAAGCCATACGCTGCAAAGGAAGGAACTACAGTTGGTTCTACTCCTATTCTACCAATTGAAGATACTGATACTAAGCCCTTCTTTTATGACATTCAGGGTGAGTCACTTTACACTAACCCACCTGACACAAATTCCCCAACCATTGATCATGGTATTGATGAGGATGATATCTGGTCTTTCTAAAGATCAGTGTATAACTAAATTGTTATCAAGAATCCATATACCAAGAATATATTCGATGCTTCCACTAAATCTCATGCTCCATATTGGGGAAATAAGCTTCAAACACCAGCATTCTACAAGGATGATAAATTCGAAAAATTCCTCTATCAATGGAACATCAGACTCGGTCTTGAGCAAATCAAGATGAAGCATGCTGCAACCTTTGTAAAGGGTGACAAATAGTAATAGAAAAACTTTAAGAATGAGATCATGGCGTACCTAGAATAGTCTCAAAACAAGCTAATTGAGTATGATTTAAAGGATGTTGTTGTCACAGATCACATCCAAAAGCCAAAGAGATATCATACAAATAATTCTAATGAGGATCAACAATTTTATAACTATCAAAAATCCCTTGAATCCTATCTAGAAACTCCATCATAAATCTCTGCTCCTCCAAAGGAAAAATATCCAAGAGGTTCTGCTCTCTAGGTTATTCTTGATCCATTCGCTGGTCAAAAGAGATTACCAAACGGAGCTCTTTTCTATGAAGTCCAAGAATCTGAACTGCTTCCAGTCATCCACAACGATGATAAACTAAGAGCTGAGTGGGAAAAGCTCAAAGAGTTCAATAGTGCTCCACTTGAATTCTCAGAGGAAGAATCAGATGAGCTCCAGTATATTTTGCTTTAAGATCTTGAAAAAACAAGCCCTAATACCCTCGATGAATTCAATGAAATTCTTGATTAATAATTCTCAGTCTTCAAAGATGGTGAGACTTACAATTTCGTAAAGGATATGAAAAATGCCTTTGAAAAGGATATTGAAAAACCACTTGCTGAAAAAATCTTCGATACTATTCCAGCTCACTATTTCTGGGACATTAAGACCCCAAGACACAAGCCAGTTTCTATGATAAAAAATCCATACAATCCATTCAGACAGTATCCATTCGAGTCATTTTTCGATCACAGATCTTACGAAGAATATATGGACAGAAGAGAGAAAAAAGAGAATCTTAGAGATGGTTTGTCACTCTACAGAAGATATTGAGAGCAACCGATCTTGCCGTATAATGCTCTTTGCGCTTGCATATTAAAGAGCTTTCAAAGGACTAACACTCTATAGAAGTATAGTCTTTCAAAAAGCTCTTTAATTTTATTTAAATTTACATTTATTCAACTATAATCTTTTTGTTTCAGCTGGGGTTTTGGGGTTTTGGGGTTTTGGGGTTTTGGGG